AGAAAGAGAGACAGAACGGTTTGTGGGACGTACCGAGTTGGGTGGGTATTAATTGGAGGATCGTTCACGAAGGGTTCGGACGATGGATAATCGAGGCCGAGAGGATGGTGTAAATAGGCGGCGGCATAAATAAGCGAGAATTAGAGTCGATTGAGTGGGCGCTTATGCGAAACCGGGGACGAGCGCGCGGATCAATTCGTAGAAACGAATCTCTATCCGCGCGTCCTTCGGGTGAGGACGAGGACTCTTCCCTACCTGTCTACCGAAATAGAACGCGAGCCGTGACCTAATTGACGTGTGCTGCACGCGCTCGCCTAGGAAGGCGCATAATGCAGCGAATGGGGAAACGACGCCTTGCATATGTTATGCGCCGCCGTAAATTAGCAAGGCGGCGACGACACGCGCGATTATTTCACGCGCGGTAATTCGCGCCTGTTCTCTTCTCAAATGCCGTCTCCCCATTAAGCTTTCCCACACACACACACACACACACACACACACACACACACCTGAGCGGCACCTGAAGATTACACGTTTGTAGATCACGCTCGAGAAATCGCCGTGACAAAGCATTCTTTCCGTGCAATTATTATACGTGCCTTCTGTTTTTTTTTTTTCCTTTCCTCGAGCGAGCCTACTTGTTGTGTTTTCGGCTGCGCCGACACGCTCCTAGACTATACATTTTCTAATCTCCGGACAGTATTAAGTCATTACATCGCCCCCCGACTGTATTTCCAACCCGGAAAGTATTAAATCGTTACATCGCGCCGCATGAATCAAAGCGATGATATCAAGCTGTTATGCTACACGAGGGAACCTCCAAACATTTCCGCGATATTATCTAAGATGACGTTTACGTATTAAACAGTTTTATCGTAAGACGTCAACAAACTATGTTGAAAAAGCAGAAAAACCGATAGAAAGATGTTGACACAGATTCATGAGAATTATATGCATTTGTCAACTAGAATTAATTCTAGAATTTAAAAGGAATTATACGTAAATTTCAAGCTAATAACGCATAAATTTAATGCATGCTCTTTAAAAATGTATATATAGCACATCACATTGATAAAAATTTTATATGTGTGTGTGTGAGTGTGTATGTATGTATGTATCAAGCTGGCATATCATTTTGTGAAAACTCACTAATTAATGAGAGTTCTGGCTTCATTTTTAATAGTTACGTAGTTCTATTTAAATTTAAAAAAATATTTCTAGTAATTAAAGCACCAAAATTGCCTCAGGACTGAAGTGTCAGATTTATGCAGCATCTCACTTTATTCCGTTTTAATATTCATTGCCAGATTTCAACAAAATTTATTCAACATAAGTCGTAGAAAGAATTCTGATATTGTTTTCTTTTTTCTTAAATAAAAAGCAAGCTCCTACATAATTTTTCAAATATTGTATAGGATCACGACGATTATACTTGATGGCAAAATAATTTTCAGATCTGTATCTGATCAAATTTTAGACACTTTAATAAAATTGTTCTTTCTGTATGTAATTAAATCTTTCTCGAGCCATAATGTATGTCATTATTTAAAAAATATTAAATAATGTTTCATCTTTATGAAAAATTTTAAAAACACAGAGTTACACAAGAATTATTAAATTTATTAAGTTTATTTGCATTAATTAAGTTTATTATACATAGAATTATTTATAGACTACGCTCTCATATATATGTCTTAAAAAAGTCTTTGTTGGGTAATTATTATTTAAAAAATTTCATAAAAATGTTAAAAGTCATATTATTTGATTGTACTTCAATTTCTTTATAATCTAAATTTAAATAAGTTTAGATTATAAATTTAAATTTAAATTTAAAATTCAAAATTTCAAGAAATAAATATAAAAAACTATATTCTTTTTAAATTTCGATAATGCTTTACTATCATCTTTTACGATTTTATAATATTGCTAAAATATTTTCTTCATAAAAATATGAATCATAATATTAATGTTAAGATTATGTATAAAGATATAAATAACGACAATAAAAAATAACTATCAAAGTCAACGAATTTATTCAACAATTTACTCAATCGGCGAGATATGATCTGTTTCCCTTATGAATCGATCTGTATATGTATATGAGTCATTCAAAAACAATAAACAATGTGATAAGCTACAAATTGCAGGATGATGAGATTGTTCTTTAATCTCACGTTCTTATTTAAGTAAGACATAAAATTGTCTCAAACAATCATCAAAGTTCTTCTGCATATGCTGCATAACGCTGTTTTGACATGTTTGAAACGTTATGTCATCGTGTATGACGATAATACGTTGTATATACAGACAAACATGCACATGTGACAACATAACTTTAAACTGTACGTAATGTTTCTTATTTGTATAATCGTATAAGGATATAAATCTAGGATCCTCTATGCACCGTGTATTATGAGACACACTCAATAATTTGGTTTAATGTTCGCTACAAAAACTATAATCGAAAAATTGAATTTTATTTCTTTCTTTATTTAAATTAAATTTATAAATCACATATATTAAATTCTAAACTTTTTATTGAATTTAATTATGTAATGTAAATAAAAAATTGTTTATAAGTAATTATTATAAGATAAGTAAATAAACAAGCTTTCATTCTGCATGGTTTAAAATTAAATCTGGCATTATTATGTAATTTTCGCTGTTCTAGAGACATATAGAAATAATTTTGAGTACATCCAGATTTGTAACAACGTTTGTTCGCTCCATTTTACCTCTGTAGCACAGAGGCTGCAGCGATGCAACATACCGCACGTATTTGATAATACGTTTCTGCATTTATTCACGCATAATGCTGCACAGCTAGCAGATTGCATGCATTTCATTCGATTGCTGGTAGTGTCGTTTCATGATTCATCCGCTTGTCACCCCCAGTGTGATACCACGCGTATATATCACCGCCATATAACCACGTTTAAAGCGGAACATCAAGATAAATTATTTTTAGGTGAACAGCCGCCCTTCAGGCTATCACCGTACACGTCAGTCGTATCGTCAATAAAAACTCAGCGTGAAAACTCTGCGGCAGTTTACTGAATCGAAGTACAATAGATTTGTAATATATATATAGAGAGAGAGAGAGAGAGAGAGAGAGAAGTAAAAACTTTTAAAATTACAGAGAGGATAGGTGAAAATTACACTTTCCTGTTATTATTGTAATGCACAAGGTATATCTAAAAAAAAAAAAACACATCGTTGTGACATTTCGAAAAATAAAACTACACAATGTATTGCGGTGTATTCATTCTTTATACGTACATCTATACTTTTTCTATTATTCATGTACCTGTCGATTGTAGGCCATCTTATTATTCGATAGTTCTATTTTTCGCTAATTTGCTCGTTACACATTGACGTTTGCATTGCGAACAATATAGCAGTGTAATTATCACAAGTTTAATATTATTCCGAAATAATGTCGAAATAAAGAAACTGTCAAAATTACTTTTGACATATTATATGTATGGTTTGAAGTGCCGACATTGATTTCAAATGACATATAATCAAATGTTTAATTTCGTAATCTTAACTTAAAAAAAACAAAAAATCTAAAAAAAGAAGTAAATAATAAATACAGAACAAAAATAAAAAATTCTTTTTGAAAAGTAACAAATTTCTATTTTTGTAGAAAGTAAAGACAAGTTTTTATTTTTATCAATAGAGGCAGAAAAAGATGAAAAAATATAGAAAGTATAGAAAATATAGAAAGTATATTTAAATATTAAATCCTTTCTATATCCCAGAAAAATTTTCACAACGTTAAATTGCCGATCCATATTAATCAATTTCGCAAATTAAGTCTCATAATGAGGCCTATATTAGCATGTGATCGCCGACATTGTGAAACCTCGATATCGCGCAAGTGTTCGAAAAGTAACAATTTTACGAGGATATTCCTCGACGAAGACTCGTTTGCATCTCATTCCATTAAGACAAAATGCGCGCCACGTATCATCTGTCTTTGCTGACGCGCTTTTGTGTCCTCTCGTGTTTCTGTCACGTTCTGACGTTTCGCGCGTCGTCTAATTCGACATTGCGTTAAAAGACGCAGATAATGCGAATAGCAGCGGAAAAAGAGGGAGAATAGGAGGCAAAGTCAAACGGGCAACGAGAGTCTCCTCGCGAAGTTAGTCGCGTGAATTGCGCTGTGTCAAAGCGCCGTGCGACCTGTACCACACGCTGCATAAAGCAAACATCGTAAAATAAAAAAAAAAGGGAACAAATAAAAACAAGAGCTTGACGTCGTCGTTCATTTCGTGTTACGCACGTATCGATATTTCATCTACGTCACGTCAGTGATATTGCATTCTTAGTGAATGTGCTTCCGAAGCTGTCGCTTCTCGCTATCAGTACTAAGGTAAATGACGTACTCATATACGTAATCTTAATAATAACATATGCAAGATAAATAACAGATAGATCAAACGCGAGTTAATACCCAATTGATATATGATACAATTTTTTAGATTTTTTTTTTTTATTCTGTCAGAGCTCTTTAAATAACGTGTTATAATTGATACATAAGCTTTTACTGCTCACTTTGAATGAAATTTAAAATGAATTACGATTATTTAATCGTTATAAAAAAAACAAATGTCAAACAAAAACTTCCAGTCATTTTGATTAAGTACGAGTGTATCTTAGTGTATATTTTTTAATGACTTGATGATGCTGCGAAAAATTGAGTTATTGTTCGAGACGAAAAGCAGGCAGTTGCATAATAGGTGAAAAATAATTTCGTATATTTAGCCTCTCGTTTATTTAGCTCTAATAATAAATTGAATATTCGAGACTGTAAGAACCTTCTACTAGGCTACGTCGTTTATGCAACGCGAAGGTCAATGATACTGTTTAATCTATTGATATCGGACAAACGGACAAACAGACTCGAAAATCAAGGACAGAACTACGCTACAGAATGATAAGAATTGGCACACGATTAGAAGAACACATGTATGAATAGTGAACAGACATGTGAGTTTAATATGAGATATGTAATATGAGTTTAACATGTTCCAACCATCTGTAAATGTGTCTAACATATTTAACGTGAAACTCAAATCTCTCACTTGATTTTGCTACTAACTTCGCTTCTCGACCAAAATAACGTTGTCACGTTGATAAGCTTTCTTGTCCTTAGAATCATTGTTTTGCTTAGATGTCTCGAGCTCGAGCACGAACGCACTCGAGCTCGTGGCAAATATCCTCCACCTTGAAGAGTCTTAATGCTGATTAAATATTCAGTCGTACATATAAACGGTTTAATATACGTCTCACGTAGTCGTAAGGTGTTTCCTAATAGAGTCACTTAATAGCTCGAGATTCTTAAAACCATCGGACACGAGTATGTCAATCTTTCTCGCATGAGATTACAATAATAATAATACAATTTTAAGCTTCACGAGGAAAATCAGCATATTGTCAATGGTACCGGCGACGCTAAATGCGCTTACGAGTCCTCAGCTCTACATGCTAATAAACTCGCCGTGTGCGCAGCTGCAGAAATCGTGTTTCGCATGCAAGTCCATCTTGCAATTTGAATTAATTCGTGACACCTGCTCATTGTTATGGCCACGATTGTTGTGTCATCTCGATCGCACAGTCATTTACGTACGTGCAACAGTGATGTAATAATCATGATTGATGGCAGGAAGACGATTATAATAAATCAAATCATAACAAATGATAATTATCGAGTAAGTTTTTTTTGGTTTTTGATTGATAATATTTGAAGAACCCGACGTGTTAATTATCAAGAAAAATTTTTTGATAAATCTCACTGTTTATCACTTGACAAAGAATGATATTACTGCCTCCGGTTACTGCATACTCGGAAAATGTATAAATATGCATACAATCTACATTACCAAGTCAAGAATGATTTTTGATGAAAATATCATGTTGATCCATCATTTTACTTTACTCAGAATTTTAGAAATTTTAATTTAAGTTCTAGTATAAAAATTTAACAATAAATTGTTGAAATTATTCAAGATAATCGTGCAATAAAATTTTCATTAGGGACTCCAAATTAATTTAAAAATTAAAAAATGAAAGCGTGAGAAATCTGGAGTATTCAATGTGTGTAAAGTGTTAAATAACATTCTGCATCTAGGAATATTCATCGATGCGACTTTCGTCGGGATGAGAACTTGGCACATAATTTAATAGCAGAACAACTTCCGCGGATGCATTTGCATACGTATGGAAATATGATTACATCTATTAGTAGGAAATAATAACGAATACGGTGCAATTATGTGAAATATTGATCGATTAATAACATAATAATATGTAAAAAAGATACGCGTCTTCGAGTTTGTGCTTCGAGCTATTTTCCTTGTCTTTTTTATTCATCTCACTTAATTTCTTCGTAGATTGCATATTGTCTTCTAGTAACTTATTAATTAACATCAAATTAGTCGATTTAATATCGAAATTTACCAGGAAATTTACCACGATAATGGATTTTTATTCTCAATTTGTCAATTTGATTTTTATTCTCTATTTTAATACGAAAGAAATGAAATAAAAAGAGTGTCCTATTGGCGTAGCAATTATCTGAATTGATGAATCCTCGCAAAATAGGGATTAGGTCATGGATATCCCGGGTGATTTTTCAATGGCCTCAATATTAATCAGATGTAGATATTAATGCTTCAAGAAAGTTAGATAGAATATAAAATTGAATAATATGATCCTAATCGTTTAATACTAATAACATAATTATTTATAGTGCACTGCTTTATCACTTAAGTAAAATTTATGGGTCATTAGTTTATTTTAAGTTTATTTTCATTAATTATTCAATCTTTGAATTAAATAATACTTTTAGTGCATCGCAATTTATTAATATTTTAAAAAAAAGTTTAAAATAATAACGAAAATATGATATATCGATATTTTTAATATTCAATGAGTACTGATGATATCGATGTTAAATTATCTTTATCCGTAACAATTTCCGAAAATAAATTTGCGCTATTACCAGAAATAAAATATCGCGTAACGTTGGCTGGCGTCCGTAAGTGTGTCGTCACAGTTACGAAGTCACTCGAGCAATTATACAGGGCACCAAGTTAATCAAATGTCTCGATACGAGACGAATTACAAAAGTCTTGAACGATTATTATTTCTCAACCTTTGAACATACGATATTTGTTTAATTTTCTGCAGAAAAAAATACCGAGTACTATTTAAATAAAGATAAAGGCGATAAATAGCGCGGTCTTACTTAGCGTGGACTTGAATGGCATTAACAGAAAAATGCTTAATTTAAATGAAATTGTAATTTCTGATCATTTTGATAATTCTACAAAAGCATGCGCACTTTAGAGATAAGTTAGCCACGGATGGACTCGTTGGCATCATTTCTACAACATTAATCTTAACACTCAAAGTTTCTCGTGTCACGAATGCACTATAAATAGGCACTTTACGCTCTTCGGCCGTGATACGCGATTAATACAACCAGAAAGGTATCAATTGTACCGATAGGCTTTCATCCATGTAAGTGCAATTAATGACGTTCGCGTTCTGCTTTTTGGACTCATCATTGGTCGCGCGTCGAGCGCCACGTCATTTATTCGATAAAATCAAGCCGTTATGATCCATTTTTCCGATGCCGTTGCACTTTGAAATCTATTTTGTACATTATAGTGAGCGATAAGGAAAACTGACTAGTTTATCTGCGAATTGAATTTACATAAACGAGTCATAGTCGGCGAGGAGCCTACTGATACTTCTCTCTCCCTACTATGATATAAAATAGCGACGCTTCACGACCTAATGACAGTTAAAGCTAGAACAGATACGCGAGCAAACGTTAAGAAGTAAAAAATACATGTGCGTTCTCTTATATCAAAGATAGATGAGAATACAAGATTAATCCTACTGGAACGATAAAGTGAACTTTTTCCACACAAAAAATTAGCGTCACAAGATATCTACGCGTAAGACGCATCTACAATAAGATTCGATACTTTACAAAGTGAGTAAATTATAAAATCTTTTTAAATTTGCTAGAATTTATTAAAAAGCATAAATAAATAAAACTTTCAATAATCAAAAATAAAATAAAAAATAAAAATGTCAATAATCAATAAGAAATAAAAAATCTTATCAAATATGTCCAGAAATTGTAATTGTTAAAGATATTTGGTTTTTTAATTTATAAATTAATAATTCTTCATGAAACTACATTTTTTGTAATAATATTCAAAATTACGACGATTTCTTTAAACATTTCTTTCGATAAATTTATATCTTTTATATTAAAAAATGAAAGAAGTCACACGTAAAGTGTCAAACGCAAAACTTGAAAAGAGAATTTATTTATAATCGTTATTAAATTATAATCAAGATCAAATTTGATATATTGGAAGTTTCTCTCTTTAATAACAAATGTGTGACGCTAAATCCCGATTGAAATATACACAATGTATTATTTCAGTTTGGGTAAATTGAAATAATATATGATCCATAACAATCCGTAATCCGTAACAATACACACGTTTGTTTTCCAAAATCACTTGTTAGCTGTTGAGTTTGGAAAATATTAATTCTACAGTTATAGATATTAATTCTATCTATATTTGTGATCCATTTAAATAAATTAAACTATTAAATATAATTCTTTCTTTCTCGATATTAATATCATCTTATTTTTTTCAATGAATTCTATCAATCCTAAAGCTTGTAGTTATAATTTACTTGTATCTTGTATAATTCTCTTGTTTTCTCAAAACATTTAATTTAATCTGATTCAAGAGTTTTATTAATTCAATATTAAAAATCAAAAAAACTTTAATAAATTAAACCGAGATTGTAAATAAACAATAATATCATTCTTCTTTCTTTAACTTTAAACGAGTTTAATATAAATTTATTTTATAGCTTAAGAAGATATATTGACGACATCCAATCAAAGAGGGTTTGACTTCAGTTTCCAAGAAATTCGTAGCAAACACGTACAATGTATGTCGATTATTTTATTTCATAATTCTATATAATGTGGTCACGCGCACAATTATGCACTTCAATTTTCCTGAAGTAATAATTCTCTGATGTGAAATCTTCTTTTTTGTTAGGAAAACGCAATCATCGCTTGACACGCTTCCCGTTAAAAATTTGGACACATTGTTAATGCAAACGTATGGGCCTAATTTTAAAATACACGACGTAGAATGGAGGCATTTAACAGACCCGGGAGAGAACTTCGGTAGCGTAATATTGGCTATCAAAGTCAATGCCGAACAAAATGATAAGAAGAGAACTTTAAGCATAGTCGTTAAACTACCGCCGAAATCAGAATATTTGCTAGATTTATTCGATAGCCCGCTAACATTCAAGAAAGAACTGAAATTTTATAGCGTGGTAGCACCAGAGTTTTTAAAGTTACAAAACGAAAGCGGTATCCCACGGGAAGCTTTGAGTGTTATCACGCCACAATTTTTCGGCGGCAGATTAGGTTTACGAGATCCTCAATGTTTCGACGAGCAGGCCGCCATCGTTTTAGAAAATCTAAAGGATCACAATTACATAACGCAAGACCGCATTCTAGGTCTAGATAAGGTGCATATGGATTTTGCAATCAGTCACTTAGCAAAGCTGCACGCTATAGCAATCGGCCTGAAGTTGAAGAAACCTGAATTTTTCGAAAAGATGGTGTTACCCATTCTAAATTTCTCTATAAATCAGGCTGCGCAACAAGGTGTGCTGGATATGGTGGGGAAGGCGCACAACGATTACAAAAATATAAAAGAAGCAGAAACTTATCTGGATAGAATTCAGAAAACGATTGAATACGGATTTGCAAACGAACATGCACCGTCGAAGGAACCTTGGGCGACATTAGTGCATCATGATTTTTGGGTAAATAACATGATGTTCAAATACGACGAGTCGGGTAAACCGATCGATATGAAAATGGTGGACTTCCAATTGACACTCTACACCTATGGTGTAAGGGATCTCATATTTTTCCTTATATCGAGTTCTCGAAAGGAGGTGCTCGATAATCATCTTGACGAAATGATTGATTTTTATTATAACTCTTTCATCGAGAGCTTAAAATCGCTAGGTGTAGACATAACCGCATTTCCCAAGAGTCAATTTATGGAGCAATTGAATCAAGTGGCACCTATCATGTTTAATCAGTGCATCATGATGGTGCAAGTAATTCAAGCAGCACGTGGCTCTGTTACAGAAACTACTGAAACGGCAAATAAAGGTGTTTTTGCAGGTGGGATTAATGATGTTAATTACAAACAAAAAATGCTGCACATCTTATCTATATTCGAACAAAAGGGATGGTTCGTGAATTAATTAGATTAGATTAGCAAATATCTATCCATAAATCAATTATTTGTAAAGAAATAATTTTTTAGTCTAAAATTTCAAACAAGATATTGACAATCTTGCAAATATTTGTTAAGCATAGGATCTGTAGAAACTGTATACTTGTATATAAATATGTAGCGAACATTTTCAAACAAGACAATATTAAATCACAAAGCAATATTAGGTAATATGGACCAAAGCTAAACAGACAATTGATTGACACTTTATAGTCAATAATAATTAAGACTTTCATGTTACATATAAATATTAACACAAATAATACATAATTCATCTGTCACGACGCTAAAAATGTGATTAATACTTTTGACATTTTTAAATATTTACTTTTTTATATTATATTTTTAAAAATGTATCGAAGACAAATAATTTTTAATGTACACATAATTAACTTGTAGTTTCAATTTAATTTTATAAAATAGACACATCAATCATTTTTATATTTATCGCGTTTAAAAAAATATGTTCTTGATCATTGATAATAGTAATAAATATCTGTATGTACAGCATTTATGCAAAATAGAGGATCATGCTTGTAAATATTATAAATTAATAAAACAGTATGTTTATTGTATGTGCATAACTATTAAATAAAATTAATAAAATTCATGAATACATAAACAATAGTTAATAGAATATAAAAAATAGTTAATAGATAATCGCAGAATAATTATCTATAGAATATTATTTATTTATTTAACTTTACAGCAGTTTAAAAAACAGTAATATAGAAAGTACTTACTTCCAGAAGATCTGCTACAGTATCGGGTAAGTTAAACTCCCTGACAACACGTAGTCGCACTTGGCGATTAATTTCATGTCGCGAAGAAAGCGGCAAACTTATGGCTCGTTGACAACTGGGCGATTGTTTCAATTTTTGCTCCCGTTTCAACATTGCAGCCATTGTTGCAGAGTCTGGTACTATAATACGATCAATCAAATTAATTCTTTTATATTAGTAAATGTTATTTTATTAAATGTTATTATTTTCTCTTTTATTGAATTCTCATTTATTATTCGATATAAAAAATATGGAGCATATTCATTTATTTTCATATCAAAATGCGGATATAAATAACAAGAACATTTTTACTAATTTTTAACATTAAAAAATATAGATATAATACAGATATAATAATACAGATATAAATAACATTAAATTATCTGTTTTAAAAATTAAAAATTGATTTATGTATATAAATATAATAGCTATTTATATATGTGAGATAGCCAAGTTCATAATATCAAAACAGATAATAATTTAATGTTATAATACCTGGAAATGCAGCTGCCAGAACATCAACACCAGCGGTACCCATGGCTCTTGGTTTTTCCTCAACCATGTATAGCGCGTCCGGTATATCCGCTACGTATCTCGGCCTTCGTAATCTCACAAGATCAGCTTCTTGAATCATTTGTTCTTCCACCAAAGACTAATATCAAATAAATACAGTATTTATTAGTCATCGATCGACGTGTGTCTAGCTTGGAAAATATTATTTTATTAGTATTATTATTATTACCTTGATTTCTTCGTAATACGGCATAAATAATCTTGGCCTCACAAAAAACCCATTCTTCTTTCCGCCTCTTATCCAAGCATTCACCCTCAAGTTATCTCGTTCGTCCCCTATCATGTGACTTGGCGGAGTTGAAACCAGTCCTCTCCTAATGGCCTAAATTATCACCATAAAAATGTATTAACAAAATATATATTTAATTTTAAATAATTAAAAAATATTTTATGGAAAATATACTTGTGCTAATGCTTCACTATTGGGTGGCAGTATATGATCTATTCTGACAAGCGGCAAGAGTTCACTTAGTATCTCTCGTAATTCGATGTCACTGAGATCTCTTTTCTTAATACCCTTTCTTGTGACGGAGTGCACGGTATGACTAAGCAAATTAGGTTCCCGATCTTCCATTCGACGTACTAATTCGTGTTCGCCCCACTTGAGTACTGCCTGCAGTACTTCAAGTTCGCTCGCTTGTAAAAAATGACTCTGTAAAACATTCGCTAAATGGGTGTGATCTAATTGATGAAGGATCGAAGACGAAGCAATCGGCTGAAATTCCTCTCTTAGATAATGCAACGCTTGTCTATGCACCCATGCTGATCCATGAGGTTGACTACCCCATCTATATATAACATAAGTTTTAATAAGTTTTAATAATAATTTCTAATATTTGTGAAAGATTTATCAGTAATCAAATTTACTTCAGAACAGTCGGTAACGATTCCAAGGTGAGATACTCTAAAATAAGATCCTCGCAACCTTGCGATAATATATCAAGCTCGAGAAACCGTCCAATTTGATATAATTCCATCGCTTCTTCTAATGGACTTGGTCGCATTCGACCAGTATGTGTTAGCGCTTGAACCTAAGTTTAAACAAAATATTAATGTATAAGACCAATAGTACAGAATAATTTCTACACTTAACGCTAAGATTTTTTCTTACCTCTCCCAAACTACCAGCACTATTTCCACAACCACTTCCCCTCAATATTAACGATAAATCGACGGTATCTAGATACACAGCATGTAGCAAAACTCTGGCATATCGTTTAGGTATTACACTTTCGTCTAGTACTATTCTAGTAGGTATGTGAAGTGCCCTTTCTGTATGATCCTCGCCTGATCTAGTCCGTCTTTGTATTAAATTTCTGAAGAAAGGAGATCTTGCGGAAAGTATCGCTTTATGACATGGCAGCTCTAATTTGGGACGAAATCCATATTCCGAACTTCCACTATCCGGTCTTTGATAATCACTGTCCGACGTGAATACGAGAGCGGCGTCTGCATAATCACCCGTGTCCAGCAAGTATCTGAGATCATGCTCCAGTGGATTTGGAGTTCCAAACTCTTCTCCAAGTCGCCGGAGTAAGTTCGCTTCCAAAGTCGCATCATGTGGACAAATATCACCAGTGTAAAGATATCGTAACAACGCTGAGAACATCTGTACTTCGAGATGCGGAGTTCGTAACTCCAAACATATTCTAGCACCGTATCCTGAAATTTTTGAAATACGTAATAAAATAATGTCTAAACAATACAATAACAATATCTTATATAAACTTTCACATTACAAAAAAAAATTATAAATAAATCTCATTAGTATTCATTATGAAGAGAATATAATTATATTAAGTACCAGGACAGCCAGCTAGCAAATCCCTAAAGTATGGGCATCTGGCGGAGAGAACAGCTCTATGAACGGGAAAACATGCTCCTCTATATACAAGATCCACATCAGAGCAATGTTTGTAATCATATAACATCGATAGATCTTGCTTAAAAGTAGCAGCTGGCGGTCTAGCTAATTCAGCTTGAACATGAAGATCTTTCAATGCAGCTAACGCCTCGTACTCTTCAAGTAGAGCAGTTGCTTCTAAGTGACTCCATGTCGACACCAAATCTCTAATAATTCTACCATGATCACATGCTTTAGAGGAGCGGCGTCTCCTAATAAACTTCTTGCGTAATGTTGCAAATCCTGTCATCTTCTTCTTTTTCTCTCTATACATGAATAAACAACTATAGAAAATTTAATGTGCGATCAAATTTGCGACTTTCGTCTTTGAATTGTTATCTTTACATTGTCTTCACATTGATATTCTAAATTATGTTATATCATTTATACATTCACATTATATTTTTTAAGAGCCATTCAAAGATTTATAAATAGTCACTAATCAAAATTTTATGGGCACATTATAAAATATAAGCCAAACATCTCTTTTATTTAAAGATTAAATAGAAGTGACATATGAATATTACAAATTTGTAAAACATTAATAATGTATCTAACTGCATGTATGTACCTAACTGCAATGCCATGTTGTTCAGGACTACTAGACGCTGAAAGTCTGGCTGCTTGGACTGGGTCTCCACCTACGCTGGTGATGCTTGATGATGCAGAAGCACCCATTCTATGTGTCATGTGAGAGGCATCTCCAAGCTGTCTTCTCATGAACCAGGAATCTCTTTTATCAGTATTATCTATACCTCTTATACGTCTGCGTTGTAACACACACGGTGTTAAAATACGAAGTACATTCATTGCTCACCCAGACAACAGCCTAAAATGTATCAATGTGCATATAATCTAAGACTTCATTGTTAGTCAAAGTTACAAATTTGTTTAAAATACAAAAGACTACAAAAATAATTTATAAAATATATTGATTTATTGCCTATGTATTAAATTATTCTTTTAAAAGCTATAAACAAATACATATACTACATATAAATGTATCATTACATGTTATCATTACTTGTTAAATATTTATCTTTATTGTAATAGTGTTTATTTACTTATAAATATGTTACTTAAGAATGCAAACATGATATCTATGCAAAAAAGAATTTCCATTCGAACATATTCCAACTGTATTGGAAAACATGCTAGAAGCTAGTATTAAACAACTCAATGTTAAACTCGCTAAAGTTATTCCAATTCCAATTTGAAAGAAAATCGTTCTTGCATGGTTGAAATATCGAGGTGCATGCAAACACAACGCGCGAATAAAGCTTCAGATCTCCGGAGCTAAGTAACAACTTATTAAAAATTAATATATCAATAATACATAGTGATAGATCCCGATGGTTTCTTATGAGGAAAACCAGCAACGACGTGGAAAAGGGGAGTCATGATTTCAATTTTCACGATCACAGGATTAGTGGCTGCGAGATGTACACGGTTTCTCGTTTGGACGATAATGCCCGACAATGTCAAGGAGTTGTGCGATAATGCAAATAACGCGTGACAGGCGCGCTATGTAGTTAACGATACGTGACGTGCGAGCAGCAGCAGCAGCCGCAGCCGCAGCAGCAGGTTCACTCACCTTCGCATTTGCGGGAGAGAAAGGGGGTAGACGGAGGAGGACGAAAAATAGGAAACACTGGTAATATAAATCGAGGGTCGCGTGAACGGAGAGCGATAACGAGCGAGTTACACACAAACGTCCGCCGTCGCCGTCGTTGTCGTCCGAGCGAGATCCGCGAATCTCTTCGCTCAGATGATCAGGCGACGGCGAAGGGACGAGGGAGAAGAATACTCGACGTCGTCGTTACCTGGGTCTCCGGGACTGGCGTCCCTCATCCATATTACTCGCGGTCACTCGGTGCGACACTCGGCCGCACAAACTCGCGCGGATAATCGTCATCACAAAGCACGACAGCCATGTTTATCGTTCGCGGGAGGGAGAGAGCGAGCGAGCGTGTCCAGCAGCGTCTCCTCATGCGCGCGCGCGCGCATGTGTGATATGTCGGGTGTACGCGCTGTGCGCGGGGATGCTGTGTATGGTGTATGTATACTGAATGTACGTGTGTGCACGCACTATGTGTGGGGTAAATAAAAGCGAGTGGAAAGTGGTGGATCGCGGTCGCGGCGCCTAACGGTGTCGCCGTCGCCGTCGCTGTTGTTGCCGCGCGCTGCGAGCGGCTCGAGAGCTCGAATCGAACGAATCGATCGTGCCGCGCGATCCGCACGTCAAACGCGACGTCAGATGGCAAACGATGTCGTCATGCATTGTGGCTGGTGGTCGATTGCGACGGTGACGGCGATGTCGACATTTTCATTATTTGGAAAAGAGATGATCCGCATTGAAATTGTGGCACGTTGAAAAATATTTGTCTTAATTGTCGCGTGATATTTTCAAGAGAAAAATTTTCGTTTTGATAGCTCTTTTTTCTCTCCCCCCTTTTCGCTTTTTATTTTATTTTTTTCTTTCTCGTTTGGTAATTCTTGCCATCGTCGCTTAGCACTATGACATCATTACTTGGCGCGGCGCGTAAAAACGTTGCTTTGCAGAAAAAAAATAACAAACGTCAAGTAGTATGTACAAAGTAGTAGTACAAAAAAATGTACTCATCTGCGAGATCATAAATGCCTTTTATATGAATTTGTACGTAATCCGAAATTATTAAATTATTATTAATAATCATATGACACGAATATTTTTATGTCTATTTCTATCAATGTAGATTAACTTTAATCATAATTTTTCTTTTATTTTCTTTATTTTTGAAATTTAAAAGAAAATAAAGATTAAATTAAATTGAGATTAAAGTTAATCTACATTCATATATTTTAATGTATATATTAATTTATATTAGAGGCAAATCTCTAATAATATCATGCAAATTCATATTGATTGATACCTTACAAAACATTTTAAATACATTATAATTATTAATTATTT